CCTGAGTAAACTCTAGGCAACAACTATCGATGGGATACCTATTGATTCAAAAATAAAATTCAGTTCTTGAGGGAGAGTTTTGCTGCCCTTGTGGTCCTACTCGACTCGATTCCGGATTAGTCGGTTCCCCTGTGTATCCGGAAATCGGAAGGTCCCTGTACCAAAAAAAAAAAAAAAAAATCAGTTTGGATGGCGGAGCCTTCTTTCCAAGATTGCACTAAAAAAGTACAGTATCATAAAAAATGTGATGATGATGAGTGATAATTGATAAGTTCATCACCTTATTAAACTGACCGCGAGTCTGCGTCCACGACTAGTGCTTATAAAGCAAACTCATCACAAGGTACGAAAGTTCCAGTTATTGTACCAAAAGCAAAAACATATAATTAAATAGTTTTATTCAGACACCAACATAAATTTGATCATTATTTATTTCAAAAGGACCCTACAAATTAAAGGCTGGAGTGTGTGGTCTTAATTTTGTTCACAGTATATCGTGAAAGCATGCGCTTTAAAATGCTTTGAAATCCAATCCAATCGAAATTCATTTTACTAAATTTATCAACAAAAGTAATTTGAACCCAAATTCGTCGTTCTCTATCTGGGGGTCAATGTGATGTCGTCTAACGTAACTTCTGTTGAATAACCGACCGTTGAACTTGTTTTCTTTGAAGCAATCGTACACATAAAGTTTATTGTCAGGCCGAGCATCGTTTGGCCACTTAATTTTACGTCCAAAGTAGTTAACTCTACTATATTTGGCCTAATATTCAGTGTCGGAAGGCGTCCGTTTGGTCGAATGACCTACCTTTGGAATTGTCGTGTTGAGAAAGTTGCAAATGCAAACTTTTATCTTAATCTGGTTTCGTTTCGTCTCTATTCTTTCTATTCAAAGTTATGCATGTAAACTCAATTTTCCGTTCGCGTGTAGGCCGTGAGCGCGGGCCTTGCATCGAGCTGTGTTAAATTTAAATAATATGACTTTTTCTTGCCCTATTTATTAGCGGACAATTCAATTCAATTCTTTTTTTTTTTTTTTTTGGTCAAATTAGTTAACTATGTTTGATATTTACCAAACTATATATTATACCTATTGTTGTAAAAAGCCAATGTAATATAATGAAAATGAAGGCACAAAAACAATGCAATGAGAAGGGAAAAAAATGGGCAAAGGCTAACCGAAATTAAATAAAATCCCCTCTATATATAATTCCAGAATGCGCTGAACCTACGTGGCTGCTTCTGGTACTTCGGAATCCTACTTGGCGAAGAATCATGCTTCGTAATTAGGTTTGGACAAATAATATTGATATATTAATAATTAATAATCTAGGTTCGGACATTCCATAAATATTATTTAGCTAACTTAGGTATTTTAATATCACTTGTACTAATATAACCCTTTAATTCTTTATAATTTTACATAGTGAGACACTAAGTGACTAAAATATCCCTGATTTTTGATTTGTTTCCTTCAATTAGCTATTGAATTATAAATGTATTTTAAAAGATGATAACTTTTGTATTTCTTATCGGTTTTACATATATAATATATCAAATTAATCATCTTTTCATGATCTTCGATTTGACATCCATATTGTATATATCAAATAAATAAATAAATTATATTCATCTTTATAATAATAAAAAATAATAATATTTATTAAAGTTTATTAGAAAAATAAAATTATTACTCAGTTGATATATTTATGTTTAATGTAGTTATATGTTGTAAGTTAAAAAAATTATTATAATATAACACAAGTAAGTCACACAAAACAAGTGTCATACTAAAAATATTATAATATATATATATATATGTTTTTATAAAAGTATTTAAATTTTCACCTATTTTTTCTCATTAATTTTAGATTTTAAGGAAAAAATTAGCAAACACTCGTGTAATACACGGGTGTTGTACTAATTGAATAATAAAACTATTTATCACAATGTCAAAAAAGTGTCACCGAATTTTGGGCCTCGTATGGTCAAAGAGTGAGGATTCACTAATAATTTTGTTTTATACTATGAATTAATGGGACACACAAATCTGCAAGTGTATCTAATAGCATACATAAAAATCAGGAATTTATTGTGCACGGTCAAATTTCAGATGTGCTACCATTTCGTTTTAATTAACTTTAGTGCTTTAAGATTTTAGACAAACATCTTTTGGAGCTTTATATCACCTTAGATATGGCCCACGGGTTGATCCGGCCCGTGAACCGGCCCGACTGGCCCGAAATAGGCCCCGCCCGAGCCGGTTTTTGAACCTGCCCATTCTAATTACACACTTCTAACTTATCCAAGGATTCTTTTTTGGACTATGTCCCGACTAATCCGTTGGTCGACCCGGGTCGCACACTTGACAGTGGTGGGTGAGTCTCCCAACAAGGGTTTTCTGCATCCACAAGGACTCGAACTCGAGACCTTTGTTAAGCGACATCAAGCTGCTTACCACTTGAGCCAACTCCTGTGTTATCCCGATTTGATTTCACATATAAAATAAGGGAAAATGTTTTTTTTTTTAATTATCTAATATTATACAGATTCTTTTTTTATTGTTCCACTTGCAGAATTTGCAGCTGATCTCAAGTGGGAAACAGCTGAAGGATTTTATTTATTTATTTATTTATTTATTTATTTATTTATTTATTTTTTTTTGATCAATTTGCAAATAATTTCTAATATTGGATCTACACTTTTACATGAGTGCCCAGCTTGTGGCATGAGCCTGTTTTTTTATAGTACTTTGCTAACAATTTTGTCTCATCTGCTCACCTGATAAAAATTGGTAATATCATGGAACCACTTTTCTACAGTGGCCACTGTGCATTTCCGTACAGTTTCATCCACCCAAGTTTTACCATACCAGCAGTGCGTCTCATTATGAACTGATAACAAGTTGCAACATTTTTTTTGGTGGTCAATTAGATATATTTGGTGTGGTGATTATTTGTTTCAGTAAAAAGTTGAACGACTGATTTCAGTTTTAAGGTACGTTTGGGGTAAGCAAAGCTGCGCCGAAATCGAAAATTCATTTTAATTATTTTAGTGCGGGAATTTTTTTGTTCAATTTCGATTGAGTTATTTAGTGCATTTCGTTGCGGATTAGTTATTCTTTTACATAAGTCCGGTTTTCATTTTTGTTTTCAGTTTGGAGCAAATTTATACGAACCAAACCGAATTAAATATAAATATATAGAAAAATCGAGAGAAACACGTAACGGGATAAACCGTTGGAATCGCAATATAAGAGCGGTAAATTGTGCGATTATATCATGTTCGAATTTTTAAAAATCTTACTTTCGTGCTATATAATGTTTTCGAATCGTGTATTTTAGGTTGCATTCTGTCTTATCTAGGGTTGCAAACGAGCCGAGCCGAGTCGAGCATTGAACTTATCGAGCGGATTGAATTTTTTTTTTTAGATGCTCGAGCTCGAGCTCGAGTCGAATTCATAATGCTCGAGCTCGGCTCGAGTTCGACTCGAATTTTTTCAAGAAATTTTGTAAAATAACCATTAATTACATATATATACAAGGATATTTTAGTAATTTCACATATCTTGAGCCGCTCGCGAGCCGCTCGACAATGCAATATATGGGCTCGAGCTCGACTCGAATTCGTGCTCGAGCCGCTCGAGCTCGACTCAAAATCGGTCAAACTCGTGCTCGAGCCGAGCTTTGACTCGAGCGCTCGCGAGCGGCTCGCGAGCTGCTCGACTCGTTTGTAGCCCTAGTTTTATCTCATTGTATCATTTGTATCCATTACCATACTTTCTAATCGCATCTTGTCTTGTCTTGTTCGTATTTAAATCTATGCAACCATTGTTACTCCTAGTAATTGATATATAAAATTCTTAATATGATGTAAAGTAGGGGGTGATTATATATGGTTTCAACTAGTTTTTATTTGGTTTGACTTTTAACTATAGTTAATTTTTTTAAAAAAAAAAGTTATATAGTTAATTGTTAGTGAATATATTAAAATAATATTTAAATAAAATAATTAAAATTGATTTGATGTAAAGTAGGAGAAAAATGATTGGAAGTGGTGGTTAGTTAAAATTATGTGAGGAGATGAAGTGAATTAAAATTGATTTGATGTGTAAGAATGGCTAGTTTATATTATTTTATTATATTGATATATTGGGGATAGTGAAGTTGAGTTAAAACCATAGTTTATAAACCCGGCCCGGACAAGTCTCTGGGTCACCGGTTCAACTGCCGGGTCACCGGATCAATTGTTGAACCGGATAATTAATTTTAAAATTTTTAAAATTATATATAGAGTATTTTGTCATATAAATATAAAAAAAGTAACAAAATTAAATGTTTTGTATATAAAATTTGTACAGGAAAGTGTTGATAATATAAATTTAATGATAAATATTTATCATATAAATATATATATACATAGTTTTATTTTTTATAAACTAAAAATATTTTCTAAATATATATATATATATATATATATATATTATGGCCGGGTCAACCGGGTTGACCCAGTCGGATTAATGAGCCGGGTCGACCGAGTCAAGGCTGAGTTGGCCGGATTTTGACTAGGTTTGACCGGGTCCTTTGTTGTCCGGTACAATTAGCCCACCCAGATCAGTTCTGGCTCCGGGTCGACCGGGTCTCAAAACTATGGTTAAAACTGAGTTAAATTTGAGTTTTGATTGATTTTTAACTGTAGAAACTATATCCAATCCAATCGCCCACTTAACTTTTATTTGACTATTGGATGAAGGTTAGAAAAACTTTGTTATGTAAATGAAACAGATAGAATTTATAATTCATAATGTCATAATTCAGAAATTCAATATTTTTCTAAAGTGAGTTGTTGAATATAACTCTTGACAAGGACCAACTATATAGCATATGTCACCCTTACAAATACATCATGGACCTAGCTACTTGCCCTTAGTTACCATATAGTCTCATATATTAGCTCAAGTGGCATATGTTATTTTTAACATATTTACAGTGCAGCACTGACTATCCTGGATGCACAAACAGAGGATTCTTGTTATCCGGCGCCATATCAGTGATTTCTATCACAACGCGATCGTCCGCACGAAGTTCATTCACACGATCAAAATTTTGGTCAATGGGTTTCACGATCCCACGGTGGAGCAAATTCGCTTGCTTCGGCTTCGGTTTCTTGAAATGCGCCTTTTGGGCGAGCTCGCCCACAGAACCCGAGATTTGCTCGACACATTTGGTGATGTCGGTGAGTGTAGATGCGATGACGAGCAATGGCATGAGTTCTCGGAGGTCTGACTTGGCGGGAAACGTGGATTTTTCAAGTGCTGTCTTGAGGTCGTCGGATGCATATTTTGAATTTTGGACATGGATTTCGGTGGCCGGTAATGGGAATGTCATGGCTTTAACCGCGGAGGATAATTCCCTCAGGGCCTTGCCGGATTCTACACACATTTTCGTGCACGCGGGTTGGATTTTGAATTGGGGGTCCGGAATATGTGATTCCTGTAGGTCAAAATTGAGTTCGTTATCGAATGTTACGTACGATTTAGTAATAATAGTAAAATTGTGGGTGTTTGTACTAAAACAAAAGTTGATCGTTTGTACAAGAGGAGTGTGACTTTGTAATATTAGGCGTCCTAATAGAAGACTTACCGTTGTACTAATATGAAGTTTCGAGTTCAGAGTATGACCGTGTAATATTTAGGCAGCCTAACAGAAGACTTACCGTTGTTATACTAACATGAGGCTTTGAGTTCACACATCCGATGAGTGTTTCCATTAGACAAGCACATTCCCTTGCAAGAGTTCCGATTTTCAAGTATTGTTTCCATGGATGGCGTAACCTAAAGCGACCGTGACTCGGCTCCCACCACGCGAAGTTTGCCTAATGGAAGTTTGACAAATATTACTACAATCTTACTCGTATATATGTTAAAAAAAAGAACACGACGAAATGGTTTCTGCACTAACCAAAGATTCTTCGACATGTTTCGAATTTAGCACACTTCTATATCCTTTGAGATATGACTTCTCCTTGTCACTATTATCATCCTTTGGAGAAATCACACAACTTTCATCCCCTTGAGCAGCCAAAATCGGTTCGCCTCCAAAACCTGCGTATCGAGTTATTATTACGAGACGTACGAAACACGAGTCGACACTGTCAAAATTTGGTCAGTCGATCTCCATGTAAATTTTGGACATTACCTTGTAAGAAATCTGCTAGCTTTTCGAGATTTGCGGCAGTCGAGTCGTGCAGATCTTCCCCTGCCCAGACAGGACAAAAGGAGACAGATATGAAGATGCATGTGGCGCCACCTATGAGAATAGTAGACAGCCTCTGGTGAGCCATCTGCAAAATCTCATCCACACGAGAACCCGACACGGCTACTAAACTGAACGTCAGTATGAATATCAGAACTCCGTAGTCGTACCTCTTCTTCACGTTCGGGATAAAACGCGTAAACGTCGACACCGAAGCTGTGTATTCAAAAGATCATACTTGGATTAATTCATCAACTACTTTAGTTTGAGAAGTTCAGTGAAATGCTCCCTTTTTTTTCTTCTAAATTCATTTACCTAGCAAAAAGACCAAAATAGCCAGAACAAAAGGCTCTCCCTTTTCACCACACAAGCTGGCCAAGTACTCTGCTCCTACCCCTAATGCACCAGCTAACAATGTTGCACCACCTCTGTTTATGCATTTACCCAAAGTCCCACCTAAAAAAATATAAAAATAATTAAATTAAAAAAAATAAATGAATTAACTTAGATGAAATATATATATATATATATATTTGAAACATGCAGCATGGCTCAATAAATAAATCTTATGGCAATATAGCTTACCAACTGTGTATTCGAACACGACCACGACGGTTAAGACGGCCCACATTCCGGCTTGTCCAAAACCGTCGTACAAAGGACGGTAATAGTAGAACAACGACACCAACGTTAGGGCTAATCCGACCTTGATCGAGTGCACGACTCGTCTCGGGTCGTCCTCTCCGATTTTCCTAACACTTTTGGTGATAGCCTCAAATTTGGCCTTAAAGAAAACGCACATGTTGCTAAAAATTGTTTTTTCAGGTTGGTTGATTGCTGGGTCCATTTACTTTTTTTTTTTT